TTGACTGAGTTGTTTTAAATCAACTCTCCATTGAATGATCTTTTCATTACTTCTTTCTTGGCTGCTACTCAATATGATGATGGCAATAGTGATGGCGATGCCTGCTGTCTGCCTGGCGGTGCAAGAGTCTTATTTACAGCTGGTCTGTGGCAGAGCAGGGACCCAAACCCAGGTCTACATAATTTTCTATAAATATTATCACCCTCATTTCCAGATTAGGAATGGAGACTTAAATTCCAGTTTGTGATTTTACACTAGAATATGTGCAATTTATGCCCCTTAAGCATTGCCCTAGCTCAGTTTTTCTAGTTACTCTAAGAAAAGCATTATCACAAGATTAATAATGGCTTTGTTTTGATAGGAAATTGTAGTGTGCTATCTCTTTAGATCATGTTTTTATACAAGTCTGTATACTGCTACTGCACACTCCATCACAAACAATTCCCTTTTCACTACTTCACTAAATATTCCTCTAAAGCATAAGTTTTATTGGCTGTGAAGGGCACTAGCTTCCATATATCCTGTAATTTATCTAACTGTTCTCCCCTTGTTAGACATGAAGGTCATTTTCAGATTTTCATTATTGTAAATAATATTTTAGTGAGATTCGAATGCATAAATATTTATGTGCATCTCTGATTATTTTCTTAGAAATACTTCTTACATGTCAAAGAGTGTGAACAATTTTAAAAATTATAGCTTTAAAATGAAAGGTATAATAGAAGCACAATGCATCAGCCACAATGAATTTCTGAACCACCTGGAACACAGTAACTAATTTGAGCTCTTGGTAGCAGGAAATTTATCTTTTTTTCCCACCCCCTTTGTATTCCATGATCTGTCCTCAATACTTGTTTGTTGAATGAATGAAAAAGTTAGTAAATATATGTTTTGAACTGGACCAACTGAGTTGGGGAAGCTTAAATAGACAAATGCATTAGTGATCTCTTTACCAACTGAGTTGGGGAAGCTTAAATAGACAAATGCATTTAAGCTTAAATAGACAAATTTGATTGTTGCTTTTAGTTTGACCTCTTTCACACAGAAATGTACCTGAATTAGCCCCTTCTCAGTACCATGTTTTCCTATAGATCCCTTGAAAAAAATGTCCATAAAGGTATATAATGATGATTATTGTGTTTGACAATTCTTATTCCTAAGGATCTTTTCTTCTTGCTATACATTCTTGAATATCTTGATTGGGCTTACCTGGGAGTAGGTTGAATAATTAATTTAAGACTTTTCCCCGCCATCCCCATTATGTTTCCACTTCATTCTATAAGTCTCATAGTTTAAGGAGGTTATGTTAAAAGAATAAACATCACTTGCCTGCCCCTCAGGAAGGGAATTCAAAGGTAAATGTTATCTTAGCTTGAATGCCCTTCCTAAACCTGTGAGCGGTTTTCAATACAGTATGTCCATTGGGCAACTCATTATCTCCTAGAGCCAATAAATCCATATTTGGACAGCTTAATTTGTTAGCGAACTGTGCCACAACTGAATTCTTCCTACTTTCCATCCTTGCTTCTTGGCTCACACTTAGCTCCGGCCCCAGGTCCTCCACCACCCCCTCTTGCCAAGTACCAGCCAGTTCTCCTTGGCCTCCAGTTCCTGGTCAGCTCCCAGGCTTCCCTGCATGTAGGAAAGGGATTCAACCTATAATTCTGGGATTACAAACCCAGGTCTGTCTGCCTTTTTTTTTTTATTGTGGTAAAATATACATAACATAATATTTATTATTTTGACTATTTATAAGTGCACAATTCAGTGGCATTAAAATATTCACATACTTGTGTAACCATCACCACTACCTATATGCAAAACTTTTTCCTAATCCTCAATGTAAACTCTATACCTATTAAATAATAACCTTTATGTTACTTTCTGTCTATGAATTGGTCTATTCACTTCATTTAAGTGGAATCATACAAGATGTATGATTTATCCTTCTGTGTCTGAAGCTGGGCTTCTTTTTACTGCCACACCCTACCTTCATTGTAAGTGTTGCTCTCCATCACTAATGCATTTGTCTATTAAAGTTTCCCCAACTCATTCAGTTCCCAAAACTGCCACACTTCTACAAAGATCTCAAAGGTTTTGCCTGCATGTCATTTGCTTGTATAGAAAGCAAGGCAGGAGACACAATGTACTATTTCTTTGTCTTAACTCTAAATTCCTGTTTAGGCAATTTCTCCTTTCTGTTTATCAGAGTTCCTTTTATGAAAATATGAAGAATGGAGAATAATTATTCCCTCGCCCCCTATAGCAGTCATTCTGGTTGTGATCCTGCTTTTTTAAAAGAAATGACTTGATTTTTTGTCCAGTAAATTTGATTGTTGCTTTTAGTTTGAAACAGATACTATTTATGATCTATTTTTTATTTTGAAATTTCAAATCATCCCATTAACAGCAATTCTATAGTCTTTCCTGGTATTCAATTTAAGTTCAAAGTCATGTAGATTTCAAAATCTGCATTTATTCCTCCTCTTTTTTTTTTTTTTTTTAAAGAGTCAGATCTACATTTGTCTATTCAGCTCTTCCAGAACCTCTACTGGTTGGCAATGGCTTATAGATCTTATTTGTGAATTTTCTGGGTTGCAGTTACTTTACAGTGTCCTTCTGCTCATCTTAAATTTCTTTTACCAGTCTTGGACTTCCTTTTTCTCTTACCATATTTAGTCTCCTATTTTAAGTTCAAAAATTGTTCTTCATGGAAGAGAAGACAAGGATAAAAATAATAGTGGAGCAGTTTTTTTCTATCTCTCTTTTTAAAAATATTTTTATTGATGTCAGAGGGAAAGGGAGAGAGAGAGGTAGAAACATCAATGATGAGAGAGAATCATGGATCAGCTGCCTCCTGCATGTCCCCCACGGGGATCAAGCTTGCAACCTAGACAAGTGCCCTGACTGGGAATTGAACTGTGATCTCCTGGTTCATAGGTCAACACTCAAACCACTGGGCCACACTGTTTGGGCTCTTTCCCTTTGTTATTCCACCAACATCACATCATTGGTGTCAAACATTTCATTTATCTCTTCTTGGTATTCCTTTTGTTTCTAACATAACTGAAAGAACACTCTTAGTTGTACTTAAAAATTATAGGTCTCCATCTATCTGTCACTATTTTGGGGGAACCCTAGCACTCTCTTAGATTTGTTCTTGGGAGCAACCTTTTCTATTTTTTCATCCTAGCCCTGTTGAAATCAGAGGTCATTATAGACCTATGGAGGAACCCCCGTCAGTCTCCCTGGGTGGAATCACAACACGTGATTATGTAGACAGAATTACAGCCTAGGGGGACAGATGGGGGCCACTCAACCCTCTTTCGGAGTCTATTGCACCAGAGTCATGGTTCTGCTTCTGCTGAGCTTTGTGAATTCTGCCTTCTGGAAGTTTCAGGTTTTATTATCATATCAGAGAGGAAGGGAGAGGAAGAGAGAGATGGAAACATCAATGATGAGAGATAATCATTGATTGGCTGCTTCCTGTATGGCCCCTGACCGGGAATCCAACTGTGACCTCCTGGTTCATAGGTCATGCTCAACCACTGCGTCTCACCGGCAGGGCTATTAACATATTTTTGACCACCCCTATATCTGACTATCAGAAATGCCAGGATATGCCTTTTATCTGTTGCTGTTGGAATAAAGTTGGGCAATTAATAAAACAATACAGTTAAAGTAGCAAATTATAAAAGATACATGTGCATTGAATATTTTAAGTTAAAACATATTAATAAAACAAATTTGTTCATTCCCAATCTTTTGACACAGGGCAAAGGTCTTTTTTTTTTTTTTTAAATTGATTAGAGTTCCCTACTGTCATTTTTTGGTATCATCTATAATTTTCAGTTTTTATTTCTTTAAGTTGGGGCAAATCTTGTATAAAAAATCTGATCACAGCATCCAAATAGATCTATATTTTTTTGCAGTTATTAAGTTTTCAAATGATGTTCACTGTTGAATTGCCTATACCTAATTTAACAATTACTTTTAGAATTCTTTATCAAAACTTTCCAAAACATTTAACTTAGTTAACAATTCTTTTCTTTTTGCACTAATATTTGGTCAGTTCGTATAATATTAAATTTAAATTTCTTAATCCACAGTAAGTGCAACTGGGATGAGTAGGTTTGGAAGGAAACACAACAGATGTTTGATAAGCACACAACTTGGAGGTGGAGCAGAGGTAGTAGAGAGTGAGTGTAGGATGGTTCAGAGGGCTCTGTCATATGCTATAATGACATCATTGTGTTTACCCCAGGTTCGTTATTTCACTTCACTAGCTGACATCTTTCTTGTTTAGAATTAGATCCAAATAGTAGTTTCCCTGGTTACTTCCTCTCTCTACAGAGAAATAAAATTGCCATCCAGTCAAGGCAGTAATTTGAGAGACATTCTGCTTTTAGTTTAGCATCTCCAATCAAATGTTTGGGGTCATTTAAGTTTCACATCCCAACTGTTTCGTGCCTCTGTGCCAACATTGTAAACTAAATTAGGAAAACATCATCCATTTCTTCCATTGGGCCAGACAGTCTGTTAATTTCAGTTTCATCAACATTATGATATCTTTTCCTCTCATTTAATCCTCATTCAAATGCCTCTTCATCATCCTACCTACCTTGGTTCATGGATTTTCACAGAGATGATGAGTGATATTTCTTTACCTCCCTTCCTTACAGATATTTGTTTGGAATACTACCAGCTATCAGTAATTATTATGCAATTGTATTTACCATCTTATTCTCAAGTTACCGTGCTCTGTACTGTTCTCATACAACTATGAGACTCTTGAGAGTATCATTTTGGGAACTTTTCCCAGTAGTTTTCTTTTCCTTTTTCTTTTTTTCATTTGTTTCCCAGTTTTCTTATAGGATTAGTAGGGCTCCTCCCTAACTATTCTTCTTTTTCCCATGACAAGACTGAAGACCTTTCTGATAACTGCTTTCATGGTTTTACATGCTCATTGCTTTCTTTTTTCTTCCATATTCAATTTAAAGATCAACTAGTCATCTTCAAGACTTTCTTCCCTGTCCTCATGAGATGTCGGCAACCCTACCCAAAGTCCATCATTGCAGTACACTATGCATCCAACAGAAAATGACATCCTCTTACAAATCACCTCTTCACTGTAAGCTGTTCACTGACTCAGTATTTTCACTTTCCCAAAGTCCTAACATTGAAAGGAAGAGGCATAAAGAACCCCACCTGTGTTCCTGGGTCTTTTAGTCTCCAGCCTGTGACTTCTTCTTAGGTACTAATGATGCTCCTTTTGTGTGCTAGTCATGTGATCCATTCCCATGAAGATCCAAGGACTGATTCATGGGTTAGTAGGGCTTAGAATATCTCAGTAGACTTTTATATTGCAGAACCAGTCACCACAACGATGGACAGCAAGCATGACTGACCAAATCATATTTGCACAGAGTCCTTAATACTCCCAACAAGGAGTGGTGACTATTTCCCATCCTTTCTCTCCCAGGCCAGTAGCAGGTTTCTTTATTCCAATGGTGCGTGGATGTCTTCTGGAGATGAGTCCTGACGCTCCTTGTACACAAAGACAGCCATCGGCCATATCCACAGCGGTAACTGGATAGCGATTTCTGTACAGTGAGGCAGAGATAAGATTTGTTCATGAGTTTTTCATTTTCTTTTTGGAAGCTCATCCTCCCCTTCACTCTACCTCTGGTTTTGTGACAAGCTTCAAATCCTGAGCTTTCTTTCCCCCTTTGGATCATATTCTCCCACAGTGAACTATATACACCTTTGTATCACCCTCTGTGTCTAATACAGTGTGCTGGAGAATTTAGCACTAAATAAAGATGTTTAAGGTTAATTAATAGAAGGACAAAGGTTTTGGAAGTCATTTTTTGAACTGTAATTTGCAGTTGCTGAGTTATTGGTTTTGACTTACTGCACTGTATTTCCTTAGCAAGCTGCAAATATTCGAGTAGCAGCAAGATATGTGGTCAATTTCTAAATAGTATGGTTGGGTTTTGTGTGTGTGTGTGTGTGTGTGTGTGTGTGTGTGTGTGTGTGTGTCATTCAGCATCAACATGTGCTAGCTTCATAAATAAACCAAATACAACCTCTCTGCTTTTATGAAGAAAATAGAAATTTCTCTCTGAGACATGGCATTGATGCATTGGTATATTAAAGTTGCAGTGAGCGGGGACCTATTCATTCCAGAGGCACCGTTTTAAAAATTGAATTGAAGTCTGAACTAAAACCTTAAATAAATATAGATGTAATATTTTTTATTTTACTCTTTCAGGGCAAGCCCATTGGTTTTTCATTTGTTGGCCAATGCAGGCTTCCTGCAGAACTCATTCTGATCTAATTTTGTAACCCGCAAGCTTCAGAAGAATTCTTCACAGACATCTCTATCAAAATGTCTTGGCTTGGGGTCAGGGAATTTGAAGTGGCAGAATTTTGTGTCTTTATTCATTTTTCTGGTATCCAAAACTTTCAGCATATTATTAAAGGGGCCTGTGACCCAAAAAGCTGAGCCATTTTCCTAAGACATCAGAGGTTACAAGAAATCGTTTCACTTTCTCTCCAAAAGAAGCAAAACACTTAGCTCGCATTCTCATTGATGTTCTTATCTTCACATGTTTCTTTTTCCTGTTCTGGGCTGAGATTTCTTCTGAAACATCATTGATTTTCAAGTCACCTGGAAGTATTTGATGGGACAAGTCTGGTTTTATTTTTAGTGCCAGGAGTTACAGAGTTTGAGAGACTGCTCCCACCAGTCATTACATTGGTGCTAAATGTGGGCAGTTAGTCAGGAGACTGTGTCCAGGAGAAACGTGAATCTTTTAAAAATGGCAGCAGTTCTTACAAATGTTAAGTGAGAATACAGGGAACTAAAAAGAAGGGAGATTATCGCCGCATCTTTTGGGGGTAGAAACGAATGAAATTAGGTTATTTTAGAAAGCAAAGTCAAAACTAATTTAGTATGTAACCTTCCTAATGCCGCGACCCTTTAATACAGTTCCTCATGTTGTGGTGACCCCCAACCATAAAATTATTTTCGTTGCTACTTCATAACTGTAATTTTGCTACTGTTATGAATCGTCATGTAAATATCTGACATGCAGGATGTATTTTCATTGTTACAAATTGAACATAATTAAAGCATAGTGATGAATCACAAAAACAATATGTAATTATATATGTGTTTTTTCGATGGTCTTAGCGACCCCTGTGAAAGGGTCGTTCGCCCCCCAAAGGGGTCACGACCCACAGGTTGAGAACCGCTGATGTAGAGTGTTCTGCAGGATTCTTGGTCCTGAATGTTGCCTGAGCTCTTTATACTGAATTCTGAAAGTGACCAGGAGCCCTGTGGGCTTCTTTCTAAAAGGGCTTTGTCATTTGAGGGCTACAATGTCACTGTCAGAGTCATGGCCCCGGGACACGGCACAGCACAGCTGTCGGGAAATGATGTTCTTGATTGAAGGGTATTCTGCATTGCCTAACAGATGGACAGTAATGTATTTTTAAGCTCAAAAAGTATTCTGCTGTAGATTTTCCTTGAACATCTGGCTCCCTGACTTCCCAGAGCAGCACCGTCGTCTCTCATTTCTCTCTCTTCTCGTGGCTTATATCTACTTTGTGTGATCAGAATATGGGGGGAAATGGAAAGGAATTTTCCTTAAGGAGCAGCTGGGGTCAGAAAAGGTAGGGCTGAAGCAAACACTTAAGTACAAGGAAATATCTTTATTAAAAAGCTTTTCCTGTAAGCCAGATAGGATTTCTAAACACAGGAATTAAACATTGTGCTTATAATAAAATAAAATAGAAATGGCAACTCCTAGTATATTTTTACTGCACATATGTCTCAGTTTAAAGTTTACCCATTAAATGTATTTGTAACGATTTCTTCAAACAGGTGATGAAATTCAAGGCTTCTGTGTATTTCACTTGTGTTCTTCCTGCTGTGTCACAGATTTGCTCCAAAACTACATGTTTTTGTATTTTATAACCTGCAAAAATGCATCTTCTCTTATAAACTGAAAACAACTAAATGGGGTTTAAAAAGCATAACTTCCTTTATTGTTGAATGTATTATTGATGTCCCCTTTCTTCCCCATTGTCCCCTTCTAGCCCTCCCCCCAGTCCCCACCCCGCCCCAGGCCTTCACCACACTATTGTCTGTGTCCATGGGTTATGCATATATGCATATTGTCTTATCTTAATCTAGGCCCTGTCACTGGGCTGTGAACTGTGGAAAGTTCAGTCAAGATCTGTCCTCTATCTAAACGTCACCCATCTTTGAGTCCTTTCCATATTCTTCTCTGTGGCTAAAAACTTCCCTCTTCTCTTGAGAACTGTGAAAATCCTTTTGGAGGGAGACTCATCTGTTCTCTGCACTTTCCTGTTAGAGCAACTGACCCCATCAATTCAGCCGTAACCTCAAGCACTGCACTACTGACTTGAGCTCCATCACTTGTACTATATTGTACATCTTTCCAGGTCCTGGAGACACAATTCATGGTGGGACTAATGCCTTCATGTAACTTGTTGTGTGTGTTGTTGTTGTTTTTTTTAAAGAGAACTGGGGAGACCAGACCTTAGGTGTGAGGAGGTCAGATACCTGCAGAAGGAATGGTTGAAAAATTTGCTACAAATTAGGGCAAATATGGCCTCCTCCATCTCCCAGCAACTGACCTGTGGCTTAAGCTCAGTTAGACATGCATCTCTGAGAATGTTGCAAGAACATGACAACAGATACCAATCTGTGATACCATTTAGCAAGGGACATAGGGACACTTCTAATTGGTTTTTAGAAACCAGAATGAAGTAGCTAGTATTGTAGGATATATGGGTGATGTCTACCCCACCCCTCAATCTAAATTCAGGAGGTGCATGGAAACTCCTCCAGATTCTTTAAATAAAAGGGTGGACATTTTAGGTGTTTGACTTTCCTAATTTAGAATAAGACTTGTTGGAGTGGAGATGGAAAGGACTACCAAAGAACTTCAATTGGCTTTCATTTACGTGCCTCAATTTCTTCTCTTTCTTTAAAATCTCTGCCTTTTCTTCTTCTGTTTGCCAAATTCCCTAAGTGGTTTGGGTATTGTTACAAGTGATGACCATAGTCGATAAAATATCTGTCTCATTTTCCCACAATGTAAAGCAGGAAAAAAATGGGACATAAGAAAGGGCAGACTATTTGTCACAACCTGGATGGATTGTGAGAGTATCATGCTAAGTGAAATGTCTGATGGAAAAGGACAAGAACCATATGATTTTACTCATATGTGAGGTATAAAACAGAGGTTTTATAAACAAACAAACAAATAAACAAACAAACATATAAACTCATAGACACAGACAACTGAAGGGTGGTTCCCAGAGGAATAGGGGAGGTGAAGGGAGGACACAGAGGGGTCAAATATATGGTGATGGAAGGAAACCAGATCTTGAGTGGTGAGCATACAATGCAATATACACATGGTGTATTATAGAACTGTACACTTGAAATTTATATAATGCTAGTAACCAACTAGAGGCCTGGTGCACGAAATTTGTGCATGGGTTAAGACTAGAGGCCTGGTGCACAAAATTTGTGCATGGGTAGAGATCCTAGGCCTCGCCAGTGATCAAGGCTGATTGGGGCCTTCTGGCTGCCAGCCGGGGTCTTCCTTTGTTCCACCCCCCCTCCTGCCCCCCGGTGGTCAGCACACATCATAGTGAGCAATTGAACTCCTGGTCGAACTCCCAAGGGAACACTTTGCATATTAGCCTTTTATATATATAGATGTCACCCCAATAAATTTATTTTTTTAAAAACTCTTTTAAAAAAAGGAAGGGCAGATGGAAGTAGGTCCACATATACCATTTCTGTTGTATCTAGATTTGCAGCATATTATCCCTTTAACCAAGCAGGAGATGTAGGAGGCCAATTCCATCAACCCATCTCAAGCATAATGAGTGACACAATGTTGATGATGTCACTATATCTTTTTCATTTAGAAATAAAGAAAGTCTTCTCACATCTTTACAAAGATTATTTCACGTATTAACTGAGAATGCAGAATGTGCCTAGGAATTTTTACTCATGGAACTAATGAGAACAAGTCATTAAAAAATTATTATACAAGGGTTTTGTTTAACTTTTTTGCCAAG